ATATCAGAGGAACACAATCATCCCAACTCTTCCCATTCCTGAGAGTCACAAGACCGCATCAAAATGAAAATGAGGAAGAGAAAGAGTTCTTTCACTCTGATTCCTCAAAAGACTCAGCTAATCAACAAACAACTTGTGTTTGGCTCAGCCCCAAAACCCAAGGTCAGGAAAGCACTCCTTGCTGTGGATGGCATCCCAGGCAAGCAGTGGAGGTGAGGCTGGCAGGAGCCAAGGGCCAGAGCCTGATTTTCACAGCACTGCACAGGCACCGCGTCCCAGAGGCTGCTCCAGGCCAGCCCCTGCACCAGTGACCCCGATTTTCAGAGGGCAATCCCAGAGAGGACAAACCCAGTGAACACAGACCAAGTCCTCAGCGACTTTAACAGCAATCCTCTGCTCTGAACCACGAAATGCACAGCTTTGACACGGGAACTCACTTTTAAACGCTGAAACACCATAAAAACACACCTCAGAGGGACGCAGCGGACAACCAGACCACCACACAGCACGGCTAAGAGGGCTCCAGCGCTGGATTATTTTTAACACGCCCTCAGAACAGGCATTCCCAGCTGTGTGGGAGAGCCCTCCTCGGGGTGAGGAGCAGCCTGGAGCGGGGACACAGCGGGAGGGACCCGGGGGGACCCCAGCGCTCGGGGGTGAGCTGGGGAAGGGGATCGGGACCCCCGGCCGCGGCCGCGCGGGGAGCTCGGGAAGGGGATGCAGAGAAGGGAGGAGACGGGCGGGGGTCAGCGGGGAAGGGGACCGGGACCCCGAGGCTCGGCGGGCAGGGGGAGCGGGACCCCCGGCGGGCAGGGGGAGCGGGACCCCCGGCGGGCAGGGGGAGCGGGACACTGAGGCTCGGCGGGCAGGGGGAGCGGGACCCCCGGCGGGCAGGGGGAGCGGGACACCCGGGCTCCAGGCCGCCCTCAGCGCCGGGGTCGCGGCCGCCTCACGCCCCCCGGTCCCACCCCCCGCCTCTGATTGGCCGAGGCGCGGAGCAGCGGCTCCGCCATTGGCCAGCGGCGCTTCACTCAGTGCCACGTCCCGGCGTGCGGGGCACGGGGGCCCGGCCAGGCCGGGCCGCGCCGGGGGAGCCGGGCCGCCCGCCCGCGCCCCGCGCCCACCTGGAAGGGGTTGATGTCCACCGGGTCGGCGAACGGGTTGGTGACGAAGCCCGACATGGGCGCGGCCCGCTGCTGCTCCGCTCCCGCCGCCGCCGCTCCTGGCGCTTCCGGGGCACCCGCGTGACCGGGAGCCGCGTGACGTCACGGCGGCGCGTACAGCTCGCGCGGGGTTAACCCGGTGGGCGTGGCCGCGTGACGTCACAGCTTATAGACGGGGAGGGGGGAAGGGAAGGGAAAGGAAAGGAAAGGAAAGGAAGGGAGGGGAGAGAGGGGAGGGGGGCAGGTCCTGCCCGGCCGAGCCATGGCGGAGATCCGGGGTGAGCGGGGCACGGGGCACCCACCGCCCGCCGTGGGGATGGGGGCCCTGGGCTGGGCCGCGGGGACGGGGACACCCCCACCGGGACCCCCCCGGGGCGACGCGGCGGAGGGCCCGTGACTCGTACCCCCAGCCCGAGCGCCCCAAACCGCCGTGTGATGGTTGAAAATGGTCCCCACAGACACTGTCCCCTCCCAAGCCCTGGTCCTCTCCCTCCCTGACACCCTGTCACCCTGCCCCGGGGGCTCTTTGGGTGTCCGGAAGGGGTTTAGGGGGTTCTTTCTGTGCCCCGCTAACACTTGACTTCCCTCCCGCAGTGTTCCCCCTCTCCTGCGTGGTGCAGAACTATTCCTGGGGGAAGGTGGGCCTGGAGAGCGAGGTGGCCAAGCTGGTGGCCAGTGGTGACCCCCTGGTCCAGATCCAGCCTGACCAGCCCTACGCTGAGGTGAGTGTGTCTGTGTCCATTCTGTCCGTGTCTCCGTCCCATCTGTGTGTCCATCCGTGCGTTCATCCCACCCCGTGGCTGTGGCTCTCGCCATCCTGTGTCCTACCAGGATGTGATGCTGACCCTCAGCTGTCCCCTGTCCCCTGGGGGGTGCCTGGCTTGGAGGGAAGCCCGGCATGACTCAGCCCTCGAGGGAGCTGCCAGGGATCACCTCGGGGGCCAGGCAGCCTCTGGAAAAGCCCAAGTCACCCGTGCTGGCTGCCCGGCTCAGGGTGCCGCCGTTCTGTCGGTGTCTCGCAGCTGTGGATGGGCACACACCCCCGGGGCGATGCCCTCATCCGGGATAACCGCATCCCCCAAAAGACCCTGGGCCAGTGGATCGCCGACAACCCCGCCTGCCTGGGGGCCAAGGTGAAGGACGCCTTCCAGGGACACCTGCCCTTCCTGTTCAAGGTGCTGTCGGTCAACACCGCGCTGTCCGTCCAGGCGCACCCCAACAAGGTAGGGAGAGCCCCGCATGGCCAGCCAGGCGGACCCCGCGTCCCCGGGGAGGTCAGCCAGCTCCTGTCCCCTCTCTGCAGGAGCTGGCAGCGAAGCTCCACGCCCAGTTCCCTGAGCACTACCCCGATGCCAACCACAAGCCCGAGATGGCCATCGCCCTCACCCCCTTCGAGGGCATGTGTGGCTTCCGGCCCGTGGAGGAGATTGTCTCCTTCCTCCAGAGTAAGGGTGGAGGAGGGTGCATGGACAGATCCTGGAGTGGGGACGGTGCCCCTGCTCCCTTGGGATGGGCTTTGGGGTGGGGATGGTGGCCCTGCTCCCTTGGGATGGGCTTTGGGGTGGGGATGGTGGCCCTGCTCCCTTGGGATGGGCTTTGAGGTGGGGATGATGGCCGTGTTCCCTTGGGATGAGGTGAGGGCCCTGCTCCCTTGGGATGGGCTTTGCGGTGGGGATGGTGCTCCCTTGGGATGAGGTTTGGGGTGGGGATGAGGGCCCTGCTCCCTTGGATTAGGGTTTGAGGTGGGGATGGTGCTCCCTTGGGATGGAATTCGGGGTGGGGATGGCGGCCATGCTCCCTCGGGTTCGGGTTTGGGGTGTGAATGGAGGCTGTGGTCCCTTGGGATGGAGCTCAGGGTGAGGGCAGTGCTCCTCAGGGATGGGATTCGCTGTGGGATGGTGACTGCGCTCTCCTGGGATGGCGGTGCTGCTCTGACTGGGGCTGCTCTCCCCTGGCCTGGCGGACCGGCTCTGAGTGGGGCTGGCCCCACAGATGTCCCCGAGCTTCGGGCGCTGATCGGGGAGGTGGCAGCGGAGCAGCTGGAGCGCAGCGGCAGCGACGACCCCCGCGGGGTCTCGGCCGCCCTCCGCGTGTGCTTCACCCGCCTCATGAAGAGCGAGAAGAAGTTCTTCGTGGACCAGCTGAACATGCTGGTGAAGAGGATCTCCCAGGAAGGTGGGTCCTGGCTGTGACACCCCAAACCAGTTCGGGGGGCTGTGTTTAGGGGAGAGGCTGGGGCAGCGGCAGCCCCCTCCCCATGTTGGGCCTGGTCTGTTCCTGCGCAGCGGCGGAAGGGAAGGACACGTCGGGGAGCAACGGGGAGCTGCTGCTGCGGCTGCACTCCCAGTACCCGGGGGACATTGGCTGCTTCACCATTTATTTCCTGAACCTGGTCAGGCTGGAGCCAGGGGAGGCCATGTTCCTGGGAGCCAACGAACCCCACGCCTACCTGCACGGAGGTGAGCGTCAGGGGGCTCCTGCTCCAGCATCCTGCAAGGACCGGCCGTGGGGACAGGAGGAAGGGCTGGGGTGGGCTGACAGCGCTGCCTGGTCCCCACAGACTGCGTGGAGATCATGGCGTGCTCGGATAACACCGTGCGTGCCGGGCTCACCCCCAAGTTCATCGACGTGCTCACCTTGTGTGAGATGCTCAACTACACACCAGCACCCAGCAGCTCCAAGATCCTCCCAGCGGCGCAGAGCCAGCTCGATCCCCACGTCTACCTCTACGACCCACCCGTGCCAGACTTCACCATCATGAGGATAGAGGTGAGCGATGCCAGCTCCGTGCTGGGGACACCAGCTGGGACAGCCCAGCGCTGGCTGGGGCCTGCTCACCTTGGTAATCAGTGTCCTGGCAAGGAGGGAGGGATGCTTGGCATGGTGGGGCGCTGGTCTCTTTATCCCTCCTCTGTTGCCTCTGCCTGGAGCTTGTTCACCATCCCCAGCAGCTCTGGACAGAGGGAGAACCGTGAAGAGGTCTTGGGTGTCCTCAGCCAAGCTGAGCGCTTGGGCTGCTGCAGGCACAGCAAAGGGGTGGGAATGGGGACAACCCCCTTCCAGCTCTCCAGAGAGGAGTAAAGCTGAGGGAGGCTCCAGCACAGTGACATTTCCCTTGGCAGATCCCTGCCTCTGTCAAGCTGTACCTCATCTCTGCCATGGACTCTGCCAGCATCTTGCTGGTGATCCAAGGGACGGCCGTGGGCACCTCCACAGCCGCAGCCTCCGAGATGTCCCTGCAGCGTGGCTCCGTGCTCTTCGTCTCGGCCAACGAGAGCATCTCCCTGCACCTCTCCTCACCCGACGGGATGCTGCTCTTCCGAGCCTGCTGCCTCCTCTGAGCAGGACCTGGGGCACTTCCTCCACAACACTCCGTGTTCTGAGTAGATAGAAACTGGCGTGGGCAAAGTCTTCTCGCTTGAAAGGTCTCCCTCCACCTATTCAATCCCAAAACCAGCCCTGATGTATAGAAAGAGCAGTTCCGTGGATCGACTCCTTGGTTGTGGTGCAGACCACAGGCTTTCTGCTGCTTCTGGTGGGCTCTTCCCAAGCCTGGCTGATGGCAGCCAGTGTCCCCCTTCTCTGGCTGTAAAAGGGGGCTGTGGGGGATGATGGAGTGGGAGAGCCTCTGCTGCTGTGAATAAAGAGATGACTTTGTCCCTGGCGAAGGGCAGCATGGTGGAGGGAGGAGGATGGAGGGGGACAGAGAGGCTGGGAGCAGCTCCAGCACCCCCCCAACATTGGCTGTGACCCCCTTGCTCCTCAGGCACAGGAAAGGAGTAAAACATGATGAGGAGTCCCTCACACAGAAGTCCCTCTCACAGCACCAGAACCCCATCTGAGTAATAAGATCCAGTTTATTGAGTGCTCCCTTTTACAAGTAAAATACAAAACCAAACAAACATGCCCCCCCACCCCCAAACCAGTTCATGTCTCTTGACATGAAATATTTAAATAAGGTTTCTGTATAAGAAGCTGATTGTCCTCTATGTCATAGAGCAGGACCATGGTTTAAGGCAGCATTTATGGTTTGCAGCAGGGAGGCTCTCCAGCCCCCCAAATCCAAGCCCTGGGCAGAGCTGGGACAGAGGGCCTGGGCTGTGCCTCACCTGCATCAAAGCAGCGTTGAGGAGAATGGGAACAAGCCATTAGCTCCAACCCCAGAAACTCCCAAATCCTTCCCTTTATATCCCTGTGGAGGTGCCAGGCCCTGCCTGTCCTCCCTTCCCACCCCAGCCAAGTGCCAAGTCCCATTCAGGTCACCAAACTGTCACTGTGCCACCTCCCCCTGATATTGCTGAGTGTAAGGAGAAGAATTTTAGTCTTTTGGAGTCAGTTGGTCTCTGCCGTGAGCAGCATCGTTCAGTCCTTGTGCCACAGTCCTGGCATGGGACCTGGACACCCACCAGCATCCCACGGGACAAAGAAAGTGCTGGATTTTGACCTGTTCTTGTGCAGCTACTGGATCACACAGGAGAGATTTTCTCCAAAACAACAGGGGCAAGAAGAGGAGGCAGCAGATTTTGGGGGGATGAGATCCAGGTCTTCGTCATCGGGGACCTCATCGAGGTGGTACCCATCCTGCAGCAGCTGCCGGCTCAGGTCCTGGGTCACCTGCTGCAGGGGACAAAGCAGAGCTCTGCGGGATGGACACACACCCATGCCCTGTGGGGTGATGCTTCCAGCCCCTAGGCAGAGCCTCAAGGGGTCAGGGGAATGAGGGAGCCCCTGGGGACCCCACAGCGTCAGAGTCAAAGCCCCGCACTTGCCTCAGCGGAGGAGTATCCCGAGGAACACCTGGATCCTGGCTCCCCGTCACTGGGGGAAAACACAAACAGAGCTGGCCAGGAAATGGGGTCTTTAGGATGCAGATAAGGGGAATTTGGAGGGGAAAAGGAGCTGGCAGTGCAACCCTAAGGGATATTTGAAATCTGGGCCAACAGGAGCGTTTTGCTGCTCTGAGGTGCCCAGTGCCATCAGTGGTGTTCTACAAGTAACAAGGAAAATCAACCCCCGCAAAAAGCCATCTGGGAGCACCCCCACCCTCAAAATCATGGGATATTTACCCAAAATCCTGGGATATTCACCTGTCTGAGTCGAGGGAGACCAGGTTTTCATCAGCTGTCTGGCTGAGCGCCGTGTAGCCCTTGTTGAACTTCACAGACCTGCCAGAAAACACAGGGGGGAGACCAGCACAGATGTTTTAGGTGGAAACACATTTATGGAGCTGACAGGCTGAGGAGCCAGGGCAGGAATCCCACTCCTTCCCACCCAGGCCCTGTCCAGGGCTGCCACCAGCTAAACCCCAGGACACCCCAATAAATCCATACCACCAAATTATCCCCAAAATAAAGAGGAAAGCAGTATATTTTATTATACTGCGTGTTTCTGGCCAAACAGAGCCAGCAAAATAAGGTCCCCAACTCATTTTTAATCCTCTGACTTTCCCAGTCTCCCCAAGAAAAGTGAAAAACGCATTTTGAAAACAGGAAGAGGGGATCAGACCTTTTAGGAGTTGGTTTCAGGGCAGTGGGTGCCCCCAGCAGCCCCTGCCTTCGCAGCACTGCCTTTGCCAGCTCCCGCTGCCTCTCTGAAAGCCAAGCACAGGGACAGGGAGAAAAATTCCCAAGTGCTCCCAAAGGGTTTCTTCTTCTGGGGAATGGGTCAGGAGGGTGGTGCAGGTGAGCGTGGGCACAGTTCAGCGCTTTCCAAAGGCATCTCTGTGGGTTTGTAATGGGGTTTTATAAAGGTTTTATCCCAAGAAGGAATTAAACGGCTTTTGGTAACCCCAGCTCTGGGAGAGAGGCAGAAATGACACCCGAAATCCCAGCAGAGTCCACCAAGCATCACTTACTCAGCTTGGCCTGAATGGAGGGAGGTTTGCTCATGATGTATGGACCCCTTTTCTCCACCACATCTGCCCCCTTGTTCAGCCTCTTCTTTTCAGCCCAAATCAGCTAAAAAAAAAGAGTGGGAGAAGCATTTAGCACCTCTCCACGGAGATGAAGTAAAGCAGAGTGAACTCGGAGCATCGGATGCTCCTGGGAGCTCAAGGTCAGCAGGGAAATCTTTCGCCAGGGAAATTTGTCCCCAGGGACAGCTCCTCCTCCCCAGCCCGGGAGGAGGGAGAGGAAAAGGAATAAGCAGATCTGATAGCAGATGAAAGGATTATTTGGGAATGGTGATGCTCATTAAAAGCACAGGTAGTCACCACCAGTTCCTGTGCAAGCCTGGCTGCAGTAATACTTGGGAAAAGGTGGTGGAGGAGATTTACTGAGAGGTTAATCAAACACAAATGTAAGGATTGGGTGTTTTAATTTGGGGTTTCCAAACTTCTCCTTTTATCCAGTTATTGTCAAGGAGAACAAATGCTCCTAAGGGCAAGGGGGAGGAAAAAGTCTCCACAAGGACAAGAAGTAATGAAGAAAATAGAGGGAAAATCAGAGAGAGTTGGCACAGGAGGGACATGGAATTAAAGGAACACGGCAGAGGACTGGGGATGGTGATTGGAGAGCACAGCCAGGATTAGCCTCAGTGTCTTAAACTGGAATTAGCATGACAGAGCTTTATGGTAGGAACGACCAGGCAGGCAGTGCCCCCCAGATCCCTTTGGATGGGCCATACCCCTTCCTAGCCGCCTGGTGCTGTGCCGATACACCTCTGCGTGTACATATATATATTTGTATTTATATTTATACATTGTATACAGTACTGTGCCTGCCTGTCTGCAACCCTGAAAGATGAACTCTCCCACTGTATTGATCCTCTACTGCCCCACACATCTTCCCCACACTGCCCCAGGGACATACCCCACACTGCCCCAGGGACATACCCCAGCCCCATAACCCCTGTGCACACACCATACTGCCCTACAGACACTCACAGCCCTATACCACCCCCATGCATACACCCCACACTGCCCCACGGACATCATACTGCCCCATAACCCCTGTGCACACACCCCACACTGCCCTACAATACCCTACTATAGCACTACCATGCACACACCCCACATTGCCCTATGGACACAGCCCAGCCCTATAACACCCCTATTCATGTACCCCACACTGCCCTATGCTCTCCTCAGCCCCACAGCTCCATGCAGATATCCCACCCAGCCCCACATTCCCCATGCAGATATCCCACACAGCCCCATAGCCCCATGCAGATATCCCACA